CCCCCCCTTAATTTTTTATTTATTTATTTATTTTAATTTATTTGTTATTGAGAGACTCTATTGAAACACTTAAGTATTAATTAATAATTATTGCAGACCATTAAATTGTGCTTAAGGTGTCTACTTTAAAAGCGAGTCCAGTTTTGGAAGAGATGCTTTGTCTTCGTTCTTCAAGGATTCAAGGAAACTTTATTGTCATTCACATCACATGTTTAAATGAGGTGAAACAAAATTACATTTCTGCTCTGTTCTTCTGCTCCTTTGTAAATTTTCACACAAACTGCACGGCTGGGCGAGATGAGAACATTTGCACTTCAGCTGTTTTTTGTTTTCTTCGGCAGAACAATTTTTGAATTACTCTGTGGATTGTGAAATGGTCTGCACTGACACTTTGTGTCACGCTAGAGCCTGAAATTCTCTAAACTCTCCCCTCAGCAGCCCTCTGTGGCCTGCCAGCTCTCAGTATGGCCAATTTAGCACGTTTTCCCCCCACCACACTCTACCTGTTTCTCACCCAACCTTTGTTTTCTACTTTTCTTGTTGTTGGATTAACCATAACAAGGTCCTTTCTAAATCCGACTGCATTATTCAACAATTTACGCAGACTGAGCTGATTAGTTGTTGCGCACAGTCGTTTGTTTTTTCCATGGTGCAGCTTTTGTGCTGCCACTGATCATTTCCTCTCGCACAGACTCTCAACTGTTTGTTTTTTTTTTTTATCTCACACAGCAAGTGCAAGATTAAACTAAAATAACAAACTTTTGTGTAAACTCGATTTAGCAACAGGTTTTATACGACGTTATATTTCTGCAGAGAGCCTCTCCCTCTGTGTTTGTTGCTGTTGTTACCTTAGGGACAAACGTCTTCATTGTGCTGTGCATACAGGGCTCCCCAGAGGCTCTGGAACAGGAATGTTTTCATTGATACTTGTGGTTTGGCAACATCAGTTCATTCATGACTCACAGCAACACTTTGTTGCACTGATAAAAATGTATTGACGTGAAATTAATGCCACACAGTTTAGCTGTCAGATAAATCAGGATTCAGCATTAAACGGTCACATCTTCTGCACGTTCAGCAGCTTAGCTTACATTGCTGAGCTTGTCCAAGTTGCTCAGGTATGTTTTATACTTGGGTGCGTTTCTGAGCAGGAGCTACCATTGGTGCTTGCTTATTGTCTTATCTGTGGCAGGCAGCGGTTTGATCCATTGTTGTATTAATGTAAAGAGATTTAATTAGAGTTGGCATGTTGAGGGCTTTCCCAGACAACAGATTGCTGGTTTAACCTAAATTTGTTGCTTTAACGTAATGGTAAGCAGTGTGGAGGGGGATCACTCACCCACTGGCATTAACCCTTCTCTCTTTTACTCTCTCATAATCCTTCTCAGTTTATCACAGTGACCTTTTTTTTTTTTTTTTTGGACCAAATGGGTAATCTTCAGACGTAATCTGTGTCTCTCTTGGCGTAGGCAAACTCGCATAGCCAACTGTGTGAGGAACACATTCTGTAATCCCCAAATGTCTTTTCTCTGCTTTCTCCCAACTTACACTAAACCAGACATGTCAGCAGTTTAAAGTAAATCTATTGCTCATTGACTCATTGATTAACATAGCATGACAGGTGGTTTACATAGCTAATCCTATTTATGTAAAACACTGGTCCCTTTTAATGCCTGTCCTCAGACCTTTAAATGCAAAAATAACACTAGAATTTTCTCTGTTTCTTCTGCAGATCTGTGTTCTCCTGTTTACTTGCCTTTACATGCTGTCCTACCTCATCCTTAACCAATTCAGGAAGACTGCAGAGTTTGTCACAGGTGAGTTTTCTGCAACACACGAATACTGCTCTGTGAGAACGTTTTCTATCAAAAGCTTCTAAAGAATTGCCTGCAGCAGAATCAGTGATGATGTTGACAAGCACACTGTCTACATTGGTGAGTGGGTGGAAGTAGGCAATACTTTTCAACCAAGCACAGGTGTTGTTCAGAAATTACCCATTCTATTTTGAGCAGTCTTTGTTTTCTAGTTTGTGTGCAGGCTGCAGCAGGATTTTTCTTTTGAGCTTTATTTGAAGAGTCTTCAGAAACCTGAATAATGCTCAGGCAAGCAGTAAAATCAATATTGTTTGCATACATGAATGTACCACATATGCACCCTAGCAGGAAGGCAGCTGTGAGCTTAGGGCTAGAGCAACTAAATGTATTCACCTCGTTAGGCTGAAAGCATGTGAACCATACACATGACCAAAGATGTTTGCTTTTTGTTTTCTGACTTTTCGCTGTCTGGAAAAGTGTAGTAAGATGTGTTTTGGTGAACACAGACATTATAAAAATAGCACTATAGCTAATAAGCAACCTTCATGTAGTTACAGTTAAGTAATAACTGTTGGTGTACATGCCCATGTCGTAACACTGCCTCCACCATCTTTGTGGTGTCC